TATATATATATATACACACACATACATATACACACATATATACATATAAACATACACACTACATTGCCAAAAGTATTTGCTCACCCATCCAAATTATCGGAATCAGGCATTCCAATCACTTCCATGGCCACAGGTGTATAAAATGAAGTGCCTAGGCATGCAGACTGTTTTTACAAACATTTGTGAAAGAATGGGTCGCTCTCGGGAGCTCAGTGAATTCCAGTGTGGAACTGATAGGATGCCACCTATGCAACAAATCCAGTCATGAAATTTCTTTGCTCCTAAATATTTCACAGTCAACTTTCAGCTGTATTATAAGAAAATGAGTTCTCGTGGCTCAATGAGGCTAACCTGTATAAATAAAGTCTAAATGAAAAAAAATAAATAAATACTCTGTGACCTGCAACAGTGCAACACTGCCCCCTACGGTCATACGGTGGTCACATAATATGACGTCACTACGGATACTCGATGTTAAATTTTTAACCTCAGAGGTGCTAGCAATCGATGTGTAGATTACTCGAGTACTCTGTTAATGCCCTAATACATACACACACACGCACGCGCGCGCACACGCATGCACGCACACACACGTACATACATACATATACATACATACATATACAAACCAGATTCCAAAAAAGTTGGGACACTAAACAAATTGTGAATAAAAGCTGAATTCAATGATGTGGAGAAGGCAAATGTCAATATTTTATTCGTAATATAACATAGATGACAGATCAAAAGTTTAAACTGAGAGAATGTATTATTTTAAAGGGAAAAATCTGTTGTTTTCAAATTTCATGGCATCAACAAATCACAAAAAAGTTGGGACAAGTCCATTTTTACCACTGTGTGACATCCCCCCTTCTTCTTACAACACTCAACAGACGTCTGGGGACAGAGACGACCAGTTTCTCAAGTTTAGAAATAGGAATGCTCTCCCATTCATGTCTAATACAGGCCTCTAACTGTTCAATCGTCTTGGGCCTTCTTTTTTCGCACCTTCCTCTTTATGATGCGCCAAATGTTCTCTCTGCAGGCTGGCCATTTCAGAACCCGGATCCTTCTCCTACGTAGCCATGATGTTGTGATTGCTGCAGAATGTGGTCTGGCATTATCGTGTTGAAAAATGCAGGGTCTTCCCTGAAAGAGATGACGTCTAGATGGGAGCATATGATGTTCTAGAACCTGAACATAGTTCTCTGCATTAATGGTGCCTTTCCAGACATGCAAGCTGCCCAAGCCACAAGTGCTCATGCAACCCCATACCATCAGTGATGCAGGCTTCTGAACGGAGCGTTGAAAACAACTTGGGCTATCCTTGTCCTCTCTGGTCCGGATGACATGGCATCCCAGTGTTCCACAAAGAACTTCAAATCGTGACTCATCTGACCACAGAACAGTCTTCCATTTTGTCACACTCCATTTTAAATGACCCCTGGCCCAGTGCAAACATCTGAGCTTGTGGAGCTTGCTTAGAAATGGCTTCCTCTTTGCACTGTAGAGTTTCAGCTGGCAACGGCGGATGGCACGGTGGATTGTGTTCACTGACAATGCTTTCTGGAAGTATTCCTGAGCCTATTCTGTTATTTCCTTGACAGTGGCATTCCTGTTTGAGGTGCAATGACGTTTAAGGGCCCGTGATCACGAGCATCCAGTAGAGTTTTACGGCCTTGACCCTTACGCACAGCAATTGTTCCAGATTCTCTGAAACTTTTAATGATGTTGTAGTGAACTAAAGTAAGTTAGGAATGGAAAAATAGTTTGGAATGCCCTTCTATAGGTATAAATCCCTATACATAAATTTTTCAGCATGACCCACCCTTTAAACTGGTAACTGTAGTTGATCTAAACCATGATAGCTTACACACCAGGTGCATATAGGTTAAGGTCTTATGTAAAATCCCACTCATAAGCCCAACTAAAACCACATAAATGCATAACACATAGAACCAGAATGGCACCCACTGGGAACCACCTGCAGCATCCTTTGCTGAAGGGACCTACAACTCCAACGTGGGTCTCCAATCTCCATCCAGTGGTCGCCTCTGCAGTTCAATCGAGGGAACCCCTCTGCATGCTGATCAATCAACACCTCCAATCGTTGTGGATTTATCGTTGTGGATTATATGACTTTTTCCAATGGATTACAGACTTTGTTTCCAAGGGGTTAAAGCATTGCTACAATGAAATTACCAACAACATAATGGAATTACCAACAACGTAATGGAATTACCAACAACATTGTGGAATTACCTAAACTGTTGTGGGATTACCTTCTTTGACTTTTGTTTTCCTCTTGCTGGATTACATCAAGCTCAAGGACATTCAGCGGTGTAAATTCATGTTGGAATTCATCCCCATGGACAGGTGATGATTTCCAAAGGGGGGACTGTAGTGAAATAGGCCTCGGACCACAACCTGTCTCTGAAGACCTTCATGGGACAGGAACTGTTATTTCATTGATTTGAATCCAGAAATACAAATTAGCTCATCCAGAGACTGTTTAATTGTATCCTGAATTAATCAATTGAAAGAACAATCTTCTTTTTTTATTATCATTACTATTTTACAATATCTTGATAATCAAAAGTGTGTTTAGTTCATATCATTTCTAATGTTGAAAGTAAACCACTCATTTAAATCAACTGTGAAACAGTATTAATGATTTTTAAACCTCATTTAAATTAGAAATCAAGTTAAATGTCTATTTACAAAGTAATTATGCATTTTGATCTTCTGTCTGAATGAGAAATCAGTGATGTCGGTCGAAAGTCAGAGACAGTCAGAGAACGAGTTATTAGAACGAAGTGTCTTGTTTTAAACCTAGCAGACGGTAAATAACTGCCACTGGCATCTGCGTTCCTCTCACTTCTTCAAAACATTTCTCTGTCTGTACTAAACGTTCCTAAACATTCCTGCATCCTCTTGACTTTTAATAACCCTCTGACATCACTAGAACCACCCCCTGTTGGTTGTTTCAACCAATCAGGAAGTACTAAGTAACCGGAAGTGAGGACTCTTTAAAAGTCAACACTTCCTGGAACTAGTCAGTCTTTGATCTGAGTCGAACTCAGTCTTCTTCTTCTCGACTCTTCAGTCTTTGACCGGAGTCTTCCTGGAGTCTTTCATGGAGTCTTCTTGGAGTCTTCCACTTCTGAGTGGAATCTCTGACGGAGTTACGGCGCCTTGCTGTGAACTCACCCGGGCGTAACGCCCTACAACTTCGAAGGAAGCTTGTCTGTTGGACTGAGTAAATCGTCACGACTTCTGGCGATGCCCAGCCACCCTGACCGGAGACGCTGGAAAGGTAGCATTGAAATGGACCTCTGTACCGGAGTTGATTTATCTTCTACAAAGGTAACGAGTCGTCACGCATCGAGTGTACCGGGGGTTTGAGCTGGTGTTGAAAGAAGCGTGCTAATTCTGGTCAACAAAACATACATCTTTCCTTCATCCATCTTCCTTTAAACTTATCCATTCCTTTCTTTAAACTTTTTATTTTGCCAGTAATCTAGATGCCTTCAGAAATGTTCGGTTGTCTCGTTAGTAAAGCGTGCCAAGTTTTTATTAATCAGAACCAGATCAGCAAATCAAGTGTACATGTTTTGATGTTAAATTTTGATTCTGTTAAATAAATGACCGCATTTATTCTTGTAGTATGACATATGCAGGATATATTCATACATTTCGCGAGTTCTTCATTTTTCTGACTGTGTAAATGTCGTGCATTGAATTTAACAGAAATGTAACGAGAGACGTTATTTATCTTTGACCCATCAAAATGAATGCGGTCATTTATTTGCAGAATCAAAGTTTAACATCACACATTTACATTAATTTGGCAAAATATGAAAACAATAACATGGCTAGTTTCACAGAAAGTGGGCACAATACGGCGATTGTCCTCACTTCTCAGCAGAACAGCAGACGGTGATTGAGAACTTTGCTTCAGATATTTCTAAAATATCTGTAATGATTTTAGGAGAAAGGAGAGTTTAAGATGGAAAATGGAGATTTATCTTACAGAGAGATGTGTGAGGGAATTAATCTGTTTGACCAGAAACGTGCACGCTCCTTCAGTTCTCAGCTTGGTCACGGTACGCTTGGTCGAAGTAGAACTTTTACCTGGTTGATGATAGATCAGCGTCGGTATAGAATCCTTCCTTTGACTCTTTCAGCGTCTCCGTTGAGAACAGCTAAAATACTTCGAGAGTCGTGCGAGGTTATCCAAACAGAAGTTATAATTCCCAAAACCGTCTCTGGATTCTGGATTCCAATAGAAGCATTCTGGACGCCTGCGTTAGCATCCAAGAACTCTGAACTCTTTAACTCTCTTCAGAGAGTTAAAGTCTGGAACTCTTCTCCAGGAAAAACTTTCAAGCTCTGAAAACTCCCATGTTGAACTCATTCTCGAGAGAACTCTGAAGCTTCTCTATCAGAGAACTTTTTCATCTCTCTTCTCCAGGAGCTGCATCCCCGAACACTCTGAGAGAACCGGGAAGTTGCCACATTTAAATGGGTTCGACTTCCGGGTCAATTTAGAGCTTTCTGATTCGTGGATGGACCAGAACAGAGGTGTGGTTTGTGATGTAAGGTGTTATCAAAAGTCAAGGATTGTTTTAGTGACAGACAGAAAGATTATTGGAGAACTTCAGACTTCGTGGAGTCTCTACTCCTATTATCTGCTGTAAAAGTTAAACACGACATTTCTTTTCAGTAAACTTTTAGTTGACCGAACCTCGAACTCTAACACACTTACAAATTTGCTCATTGAAGACAGAAAATCAAGAAATGCATATTAACCTGATTTCTTCTTTGAATGAGGAATAAAAATCATTACTTACTGTTTATGTAAAATAAAAATGAGTAGTTCTCTTCAACCTGTAAACATTGTTTGAACTAACACAATTTGATTATCAAACATTTGTAAAATAGTAATGATCATAGAGAATTGTCTTTTCTACTTGATTAATTCAAGAAAGAAAGTCTCCGGATGGGTCAAACTGTATTTCTGGATGCAGATCAATGAAATAACAGTTTCTGTCCCACAAGGTTCTTAAGGTCAAGGGTTTTGACCTTAGGCTTAGTTTGACATCAGGTTAGGTTCACTACATTCTGATGGGTCAAAGGAAAATGACGTCTCATGTCACTGATTAAACAATCCTCACAGTTGCCTCGATCACATGGCATTAATTTAACTCGAAAAAGAAAGAACCCGTTGTATTTAAATTTTTAGTAGTGAAGCGACAGTTAAGCTGTCCCCCACATTTCACTACAATGTTATGCACGGTTGATGATGATAAGTTAAAAGTCTTTGCTATTTTACGCTGGGTAACACCATTCTGGTATTGCTGCATTATCTTTCTGCGCAACAATGGTGGAATTGGTGATCCTCTTAGCATCTTGGCTTCTGAGAGACACTGACACTCTGAGAAGCTCTTTTTTGTACCCAATCATGTTGTCAAATGACCTAATTAGTGTTAATTGGTCTTCCAGCTGTTCGTTATATGCTCACTTTCCTTTTTCCAGCCACTTATTGCTACTTGTTCCAACTTTTTTGGGATTTGTTGACACTGTGAAATTTTGAATCAACATATTTTTCCTTTAAAATGTCACATTTACTCAGATTAAACTTTTGATCTGTCATCTATGTTATATTACGAATAAAATATTGACATTTGCCATCTCCACATCATTGCATTCAGTTTTTATTCACAATTTGTTTAGTGTCCCAACTTTTTTGGAATCCGGTTTGTAATAAAGTTTAAAAAAAACGTCATATCAAGCTGAATTATGTGCAGCTGGAGTTCCAGCAGTCCGACAGTTGCAGGGAAGAAACGGTTTCTGAGCCTGGTGGTCTTGCTCTGAATTCTCCTCAGCCGCCTGCTTGCAGGGAGCGGCTGGAACAGACTGTGTGCAGGATGAGTGGAGTCCTTCATGATGCAGAACGCCCTCCCCCTGCATCGTGAAGTGAAGATATTCGAGGTGGTGAGAAGGCCGCTTCCCACAGTCTTCTGTGCAGCCTTCACCACCCTCTGCAGAGCCATCCTCTCAGCAGCAGTGCAGCTGCCGTGCCACACGGTGATGCAGTGCAGAGAACGCTCTCCACCACACAGCAATAGAAGCTCCTCAGGACAAAGCTCTCAAGTCCAGCTCTCTGCAGCTTCCTGAGGTGGTAGAGATGCTTGCAGGCCTTCTTGGCCAGACAGGAAGTATTGGCTCTCCAGGTAAGGTCACTGGATATATGCATCCCAGGTACCTGTAGCAGGAGACCACCTCCACAGCTGTTCCTCCGATGTGTAGGGGATAAAGAGAATCCTTGTCCCCTCTGAAATCCACCACCATCTCCTTGGTCTTCTTCACATTGATGCAGAGATTATTGTCTCTGCATCACTGCACAAGTTGTTCCATCTCCTCTCTGTATTTGGACTCATCATTCTTCGTGATGCATCCCACTACTGCCGTGTCATCCGCAAACTTCACTATACGGCAGCTGGGGTGTTTAGCCAAGCAGTCATATGTCAGAAGAATGAACTGAAGGGGTCTCAGCACGCAGCCCTGGGGCAAGCCAGTGCTGAGGGTGATAGAGGAGGAGATGATGTTGTGGATCCTGACAGTCTGAGATCTGTTAGTCAGGAAGTCCACAATCCAGTTTCCCAGTGTTGCATTCAGTCAAAGAAAGGAGAGCTTCTGCACCAGGGTCTGTGGGATGATGGTGTTGAAGGTCGAGGAGAAATCTAGAAAGAGCAAACGGATGTAAGAATTTCTGCTCTCTAGGTGGGTGAGAGCTGTGTGGACCACCGATGAGATGGCATCAGCAGTGGAGCGGTTCCTTCTGTAGGTGTACTGATGTGGGTCCACAGTAACGTCGATGGAGTCCTTTATGTGGGTCATGACCAGCCTCTCGAAGCACTTCATGACTACCGATGTTAATGCTATAGGTCGGTAGTCATTCAGGCCTGTCACTGTGGAACACTTGGGTACAGGGACAATAGTGGCAGACTTAAAGCAGGTGGGGACAACTGCCATTGACAGTGAGGTGTCAAACTCTGAGAATCAGTTTTGTGTTGTGCATTTCCTTGACTGATGAAGCCTTCCGGATGGAAGGTGAAATGTTTCAGAAATAAAAAAAGAAACTGTTCAGATGACCTGACGAAAATTGTTGGATTGTATACCTGGATTATTGAGCATGGACTTTGTTGATACAAATTCTGAGTTCCTGCAATACTTAAAAAATATATTTTTGCTGAATGCATGTTTTTAGTAGCCAGAGTCACTATTTATACAAAGCTTTTCTATTGAGATCTTTAATTTAGGCTGAGCCTGCAAATTTAAAATGTTTCAAAAATAAAGTACCGTACTTAAAATAGTTTTTGCATTACATGGACATGGAAAGATAAATTTTTAGAACTCAAGTTTTCTTAGTGTAAGAAAAATTATTAACACAAGAACATTGCACTAATACCACCGCCTGTAAATGCGTAAAAAAAACAACTATTAATCCATCCATCCATTATCTTTTACCCGCTTCTTCCTTTTAGGGTCATGGGGAAACAACCATTCACACTCACACCTAGAGACAATTTAGAGTTACCAGTCAGCCTAACATACATGTTTTAATGTCTAAAAGCTCATAAAAGTGCAACACGTAGGAGTTTGTCACCTTCAGGGGGCCTGTTGGAGGTGGCCACCACCACCACTCCAGTTTTGAACAGCGTCTCAAACAGCTGCTTCAGGATCATAGCATCTGCAACGTCAGTCACCTAGTTAAAGAAAACCAAAGAAAAAGGCGTTCAGGCACTGTTAAGTCTACTTTTTGCAGAGAACTTGTGAGTCTGAGGTCAAAACAAGCCATCAACACTCCATGTTTATTAGTGTCACTCAGGAGTGCTCCTTTATTCCTTTTTATCTGGTCATGACCATGGTTGCATGCACACACAAACAAACACACACACACACACACCGACCCACTTGAACTGACTGCAAATGGTCACAAAGCTGTTTTTTTTCCTGAGGACAAATGGCTGAGGCAAGGCAGCAGATCTGAGTTGATCAAGTGAGCAAACATGAAAATGACTGAATGTGAGCAGGAAAAAAAAAACAAGAAAGAAGAAGAGGGAAAAAACAGAGCAATGTCAGTCAGTACTGGGGTCATGACAGCAGACAAAGCTTCTATCAAAGGAGGCCTTATAAAAAAGGCACAGAAAACTGTGCTCCTGTGTGCTGGGTGAGCTACACACAAGGCCATGCAAAGTTACAATACATAAAATCCAATTCAATTCTGCTGCCTTTTTCATCTACATCATTTCCATGAATCCACAATGAACAAAGGTCGATGAAAACACTGACGCAAGGACATTTATGAGTCGCTGGCTGTTAAATGAAGAGCTCTGACCTTTCTATTAGTAATCCAGTGCTCTCACTTTTGTTCTTATTCTCTCATCTCTTCCACCTATGTTACTCTTTTGAACATCCATAAAGGGAGAAATCATGTTACTGTGTGATGCCCAGTAGTCAAAGCAGCATGTTTTAAACACATTTGATTAAACATGATGACCTACTGATGAGTGTTGGGGATAAAAGAAAATTAATTATTGCAGACCAGTCTTGGGTGATTGTGCTTTAAATAAAGCAATTCCTAACCAACAAACAACAAAATGACTTTGAAAACGAGTTTTTAGAAATGTGCCATACTGTACAAAAGTTTTAAACCATCCTAGTTTCTTAAGTTTTGCTTTCAAGGAGCTGGACTTCTTTGTAATCTTTTTAAATGGTTCTGACCAGTAGTTGTTCCAACTTTTTGAAGGTATTTCCAAGCTTTTCTTTGGACGTTGCCTGATTTTTCTATTCATTTTCTGTCCAGTTTTTGCACCTTATCACAAGAGCATACTGTCCAGTGTGTGTTTAAAAATTAGGAAAAGGGATCAAATAGAAATTACACGCCCAGTATAAACTATCCCATCCAAAAACTGAGAACAGAATCCAGCAAAGACCTGACACAGTGCCTGAGCGATACATCATCCTATGTAGATGATCATTGTTAGACAACACTGGAGTTTAGGAGGCTTTATATGTCTGAATGTTTCACAGATGGAAGTACGTCTTAATAAACAAACAGAAAAAAATCCTTTCTGAACACTCTCTAGTACTAAAAACAGGATGACAAAGGAGCCAAAGTCCAAAGAAAAACTTTAAAAGACCTTCCAAAATCCTGAGGATCAGGACTCCTTTAAAAGTTACGAGAAAGTCCTGTTATGGCATAAAGATTTGCTGACAGGTCATTTGGTGTTCTCATCAGGCAGTACAAGAATTGTTGTCTGTACACAGTTTGATGCTAGGTCATACCACCCTCCAGGAGATACAGCCTTCTAGCTCAGAACACACTGATGATCATAACATTTTTGCTGATAAGCTTAGTCTAAAAGGCATTCCCTATTAATCTTAAACAGATTACACTGTTTGAAATTGCCCTGCTTGACAATTCTTTGTAAGAAACTGATAAAAAATTAACATCTTGAGTTTCCCGTCTCATTTATCTTTTCTGCCACAACAGTCTGACTCCTTGGAAGTAAAATGTAAAGAAATTAGGGATGACTTGAGGATTTCACACAAAACTAATCCTTCTGTAAATAATTTCCTTTACATAAAGGGAAATATTTGAACTCTTAATATGAATACAGTAAGTGACACAAATAATGATGGAATGAAATAAAAACTTGGAAAAGTTGCGTAAGTAAAAGCACATTTGACAACTTTAGAAGTGTTTGGCATCAGATCAGTGACATGACATGGAAAGAAGTATCAAAAAATGTTAAGATTAAGAGAAGTTCACTACCCTGAAGCGTATGCGATAATAATCAGCTCATTAGTTCAATAAGTTATTTGGAGCTCATCATGTACTGCTTACATAAAGCAATTACTCTATACATGAGTCAGCTGTCCATCAGATGGCGCTTAGCCCTAGCAAGACAATAATCCAAAACATAACAGAAACTCTACAATAAAAAGGTTAAAAAATATCAGTGTTGTAATGGTTCAGTCAAAGACCAGACCTAAGTTTGACTGAAATTCTTTAGTAGAACCTAAACAGTGCTGTGCATAAATAAATGCATGAAAATCCAAAAGGAACTGAAGCAAAATATTAAGGAATACATCAATGTGGAAAACTGATACGGTCAAACAGAAGTTTACTTTCAGTTAATACCATTAAAGATGGTTCTACAAAGCTACTGACTCATAATTGTACTTGTCCATGTTTCTACATTGAGACTAAGATCATTTATTTCTAAGTCCAAGTCTTGTGAAGTCCATATCCAAGGAACACTAAAAAGTGACTGAAATGAATGTCTGCATTATTTTATTTAAAAAAAATTAGGGCTCCTTCTCCAGTGGTTGACTTTATCAACATGAATGACAAGCCTTTTCATAGCTCTAATCTCACAGTTGAAGATGTCAAAGTTACGTCATACTGCACAGACTACTGGGAAATAATGTTTCCAGGTTATTTATGAGCCAAATCCCAGCCTGCTACATGAACAAGCAGGTGTTTGCTACACTGCCCTCTCCTCTTACTCCTTCTTACCTACTCTTCCTGTATCTAACTGCCACTTCTGATTGCCATACCCACAGCATATGCCTCCTTTCACACTCTGAAGAGTCTTCTGCGTTTGCATATTAGCTCCACTGCCCTTGCCAATACTTGATTAACATTTGTGTTAAAGCCTTGATTTTGCAAAGAGGTGGCTAAGGGCATCAAATTAGAGCGTGTGCGCATGTGATTGTGTGAGCGTAATGAGAATCAACCGAAAGCCAAGGAAGGCTCTGTGTCCCCGTGAAGGGGGCCCCGCATTTCCTGCGACCGCAGGATTTTATTTTCATTTCAAAAGAATCATTTAAAAATGACCTTTTATACAGCATGGATTTGTTTATTCATGTGCCCTCAACATGGGCATTGCATGAGGGGCAATATTGATTGCTGGGTGAATGGGGGGAGGAGGAGAAAGAATGGATCCCCACAGAATGAGAAAGGTGGAGGGGGACTGATGTAGTACTTGTGGAGCACAAAAATAATGGTGCAATCGCTGTTAGTCATTGCCGATATTTAAATGAGCATCCAATTACTCAAGTGTCTGTTGGTTTGCGGCAAGACGCACGGGTGCCAAACCTCTTTTGATGTTACACCTCTTTATGGACACAACCTATGAGCAATTTCACAGCGGCTGCACGATGACTGAGGCCTTGAGACAATGACGCTTCAAGCGGTTTTCTTCTCGCTCTTCTTCTTCCTTTCTCACCGTCTTCCCATCTTTCCATCTCGGACCTCTCAACGGCGAGTATTCATTAGAGGGGGTACTGAGTGAGGGTCATAAAAGAAGGAGGGGGGCTACAAATTACTGATAATGGCACGGCGCTAATGAAGAGAATGGAGAAATGTCATTAGCATTTAAGAGGATAAGATCCATCTGACCCGCCACCGCCAGTCGCTTTCTAGCTCCACTCACTTAAGGAAGCAGGAGAGTGCGACTGATACGCAGAGCTTCATTTGCATAGCTGAGTGGAGGAGGATACTGATTGGTATAGACCTCCACACACTCTTCACACACAACTCTCCCACCCAACCTCGCAGCCTCTTGTTTATGCATCACAAACAGCGTGCACATGTCTACTTGTTTCCCCCTCCATTCACTGGTAGCAACAGTTGACAAGCAAAAACTGCGAAGCTGGCGACGGCAAACAAAACAAATCAATGGGAACGCACAAACAGCGCAGCAGTTTCAAACGTGAAAGACGAGCAGATAAAAGGGGGACGCTCTTGATCCTCGCAGACGCATAAAGAGTTATTAGCGAGAGCAACCGCACCTTCTGTGACCTTTGACCTGCTGATATTAACTGTAATGATATCAATGAGAGGAGCAACATTGTGCTGCTAACAGATGTGTCTGGCTGGCAGATGAAAAAACACTGAAACATGTGCAGCTTCTTTACCGCAGTGAATGACTAACCACCTTACAGAGAATAGTGAGAGCTCCTGTAGAGGCTCTCTCCTTTGACACCAAAGAATAGAATAATTAGAATTTCTGCATCACTAATGACTGAGGGTGCTCTTTAGGGGTGTAAATCAGAGGCAGAGGAGGAAAAAAAGAAAATGTAGATGTTCTGGTTTGAGAGCAAGTCAACAGTAAAACACATAAACAGGCAAAAAGAGCAGAAAAGTGACTGAGTTTTAAGATACTGACAGTTAAAATCTTATATCAAGGTGCTTTTAGGATGTCGGTGTTCATTAGTTAACAGCATATTAATGGGACAGTTCCATGTTACAGAAAGAAAGTCTGCTGTGATTAAAGGAAGCCACTAGATGTCCCCAGTTCTGCCTTTTTTTGTTGCTCATATCAGAAGCCTACAGTTGTTCACACAGGAAGGACTTTGACTGACTGGACATTTAAAGTGCTTACGGTCAACTCTGAATAGAACATAGGTAAAATATAATTCAGCAACTTCCTAGCTTAATAGGTAAGAAGGTTAACATTTAAATCAGTGATCTGTGATTTAAAGGTTAACGACTTTGTGTCTATTGTAATATTCAGCATTTGCAGTGTACAACACCTTTGAGTATTTAAAAATATAACTGACCAGCATGTGCCGAAAAGAAAAAAGCAAAGATTCTTCTTTGTCTTGTAGTAAATGACAAACATGATCACACTTTACCATAAAAGACGCTCAGATTTAATTCTACAAAAATATTTTACTGTATTTGCTACATTAAGCCCTTTATTTTATGGCAAATTGTATATTTAAATTGTTTTATGGCCAACTCTTAAACAACGTTAAAATGATTTAAAACAAAAATTTCAAATATGCCACAAAGACATTATGCTCCAAAATTTAAATATGTATCCTACCTTTTCAGTTAATTAATTGCATATTTCCTTAATATTATCATGCAAGTATAAGAATGGCAGTATCACTTCTATGAATATAATTATATAAAGTAAGAAAAAATACAGTAGTATTAAGTCAGTCTTTGTCGCATCTACTTATAAACAATTTAGGCAGGCTTTGAGAACAAAAAACACATAAATGTAGAAACAGTGCCTGTAACGTATTTGCTCACCTGAAACTCATCAAAACACAAGAGGCAGATCTCCCCACTAATCTCCATGGCAACCGGCGATATGGGGTCATAGGTGAACATTTTCCCTAGCCTTCGTTTTGGCAGGCTTTGTTTCCTCTGATGGATCCCTGCAAGCAGCGCACAAATGTCAAGCAAATCTTGAGGCACACCTGCACCGGCAGCCCAAACCTGCTGGCGACGCTGAATAAAGCTGTAATTTCACCTGGATGCAATAATGGCAGACAATTAGCGTGGGGCCTCTGGGACCAACAGAGGGATAAATATAGGATCGGCAGTCCGATTAGTTTTTTTTTTTTTTTAAATCACAAAGTCATGCAAGCAAGTCTTTGTAGTGTGAAATGGAAGGACACCACCTACTTTTGTGGATGTCCAGCATGAAGCTATTGAAGTGGACTCTCTTTTTAAGTTTATTTTCTACATGGGAGTAAAACAAATCCATGAGCGTGGTCTTCCCTGTGCCTGAAAGGTCAAAAATAGAATCAAAATTGGCTTTAAAAATGACATTGTTTTGACATTTACCATTATAGAAATATTTCTGGTGTAAAGCATTTTTTTAAATGCAGCCTTACCAACATCTCCATAAATATAGAGACCTTTAGGTGGTGGTGGTGGTGGTGGTGGTGGAGTCGGTTCCTCCTTTGAAGTGAAAAAGGAAAAAGTGATGTTCACATTATATCACAACTGTTGCTTTTATAATTCATTTAAAAGCAAACCAGCATTAATTCCTTATTGAAAGGCACAAAACACCTATTGACCTGAATATTTATATTCATTACCATTTTTAACGGGCTCATCTTTTAATAAATAAAGTATGCTGAGGCATTAAGCCACCACTACAGTGTGAGGTTTCATCTTCTCCAGACTAGCCCACTGCAGGGGAGGAAGACAAAGGGGATCTAATCAACAAGACAAGCCAGGGTTCCCACGAAAGAAAAGCATCATCAGAGGAACAATGGGGGGATTTGTCAGACAAAACGGAGAGGACTGGATGAGGCTCCATACGAGATGGAGTGGACTTGTCTGTGCAGGCTGTTTAGCGCTGCTAATTGTGATACGGTACTGTCGCATTGAGGTGCTGCTGGAAGTCATTGTGCTGCCTGCCTCCTATTATCAAAAGGTCTATGCCTCAAAAAAACATCTTCTGTGAGACCAAGCTGAGAATACAGAGTAAAGCCAAATATCTCTAAAGAGGACCCAAGCGTGTAAATGAATCTGCCATCAGTTAAGTGTATTTATCAGTAGTTGGCTAAATTATATGCATGCTTTAAGAACATTGTGGATGAGGATTTTCCATCTCTGTGACCGAGCAACACCAAATGGCGCTGGAATTAAATCGCTCGCTCCGAGAAAAGGATTCTCCTCTCAATGTTTAATTTACAAACCATTTCATGAGGACAGTACTCAGTGTCCACATGCACTTGGGTCTCTGCTGCACAAGGAGCACTTGACTCTGATAAACGTCAGCAATTGCAGATTGAAAACTAAATTATAAACCCAAACTTGTTGTCCTTCCTTTCCCTGTGCATCCCGTCCTCTTTCACCTGCTCTCCACCCCCACCCCAGCTCCCAATTCAGCGCTTCTCCTGAGCTGAATGTGAAAAAGTGGAAAAGCAACAAGTCGTTCCCGTCTGTTCTGGCATAACAGAGTGTGACTTCTCCCTGACTTCCCAGGCTGCCATCTGGCATAGAGGGGTAATTGTCAGTGGTGGCTGGTAACCATTCTGCCACGGCAGAGTGGAGAAGCACAAGGCTGTCCCTCTGCTACTTCGTCTGACTGAGCACTCTGGCCTAGTCTCACCTCCTGGTGCAGGATACAGACTGGCACATGAGTGAAAAGTTCACATGCAGGACACGGCCCTTTTGGCTTTTAACTTACTGGGGAAAAATCCTTCATCTAAAGAGATGATCAAAGATGCCGCAAACTGGCATCATTAATGAGACTGTGAGTCTAAATTGGGTTTAAGTTGAAACAACTGTCCTGCTTTGAGGCTTGCAATGTACAGGGGGACTTTATGATGCATGTCTGACTTGAACAGGGTGGCTCACTTAACAATAGCCCATTGTCAAGCAACCATCCGCAAAACCACGCCACATTGGGTCAATATTAAGTCTAGTGAACTCTCCTCACAGACTTGGTCAGTTAGTGAGGACAATGGTGGCACTCTCACAGAGAACAGACACCGGAGGACGACGGTACGACCTGATTTAAACTGGAATAATTGCATAAGTACTGGTTCGGTGTATATGACTTTAGTGTATGTCCGTGTGTGAGAGACAGAGCAAGAATTAAGGCGCAAAAGCAGAGGGGTAAGTTGATTGTCTGTGGTGGTGTTGACAGCCCAACACCAAAGCATTTGTCAGCCCCCACCCCACCCCCGCAAATCAAAAGCAAAAAAAGACAAGAACGGCATGTACAATAGGGATCCCCTCATTACCGGATGGGGACAGTGAGAGAATGAGAGGAGTGTTGGGATGTGCCCAGCGGGAGGTCTGCCCTGCTGCTTTCCAAAATCTCTGTTTAACCCCGTGTGTCTATGCCATCCAGCTAACAAAAAAAAAAAAAAAAGAACTCCCAGCACCAAATATGAGACAGTCAGCTCCTCTGACCTAAAAACAACAACAGCCCCCTGCATTATTAGAACAACCACACACAAACTTCCCAGAGTCCTACCCACCCTTTGACCTGAACCCAGTAGCCACCATTACTAATGCTACTGGAGTACAGTGAAGTCGACACTGTAGTAATTGTCAGTGGTGGCTGGTAGTCTTACTGTGAAAGCTTGCCCTTAAAAAATACCTCGCAAGATTTTGGCAGTATCCCATGGCTGTCATCAGTAGATGGCATTTTCTCAGCTTTTATTTACAGTAAGTGATTTCTGGTCTTAAACATCATCTATCATCATTCTTTTCTGCTGAGAACCCTAAACCTTTCTGGGTTGAAAAGACAATATTGAAAATATCCATAAACTTATTGGCTAAAACAAAAAAAAATTGGTCTCAACATGACAGTTGCTTGGTGCTTGAAAGTTTGCGAACTCTATATATTGAATATTATACTTAGTATTTTATTTATTGAGGAAAATGATCTAATATTACATATTTGTGAGTGGCAAAAGTATGTGAACCTTTGAATCAGTATCTGTGTGTGCAACAATAACTGCAACTAAACATTTCTGGTACCTTTTGATCAGTCCTACACACCAAGTTGGAGGAATTTTAGCCCATTCCTCTGTACAGAACAGCTTCAGATATGGGATGTTGGTGGTTTCCTCACATTAACTACTCACTTCAGGTCCAACAACATCTGGATTGGATTAAAGTCAGGACTTTGACTTAGCCAATCCAAAATATGAACTTTATATGAACCATTCTTTGGTTTCATTTTTTCTCTGATATAATTCAGAATTCATTGTTCCATCAATGATGGCAAACCGTCCTGACCCAGATGCAGCAATACAGGCCTAAACCATGATACTACCTCCACCATGTTTCACAGATGGAATAAGGTTCTTGTGCAGGAATGCAGTTTTCCTTTCTCCAAACATAACCTTTTTCATTTCAACCAAAAAAGTTATATTTTGGTCTCATCTGTCCACAAAACATTCTTCCAACAGCCTTCTGGCTTGTCCACGAGAGCTTTAGCAAACTGCAGACGAGCAGCCATGTTCTTTTTGGAGAACAGTGGCTTTGTCCTTGCAACCCTGCCATGAACACCACTGTTGTTCAGTGTTCTCCTGATGGTGGACTCATGAACATTAACATTAGTCAATGTGAGAGAGGCTGTCACTTGCTTTGAAGTTACCTTGGTGACACCTTGCTCTTGGAGTGATCTTTGTTGATCCACCACTCCTGGGGACAGTACCAATGGTCTTGAACTTCCTCCATTTGGACACAGTCTGTCTGACTGTGGATTGGTGGAGTCCAAACTCTTTACAGATGGTTTTGTAACCTTTTCCAGCCTGATGAGCATCAACAAGTCTTTTTCTGAGGTCCTCAGAAATCTCATTTGTTCGTGTCATAATAGACTCCCACAAACATGTTGTGAAGAACAGACTTTGATATATCCTGTTCTTTAAATCAAGCAGAGTGCCCCATCACACCTGATCATCATCCCATTGATTGAAAACCCCTGACACTCTAATTTCACCTTCAAATTAACTGCTAATCCTAGAGGTTTGTATACTGTTGCCACTCACAAATATGTAATATTAGATCATTTTCCTCAATAAATAAATGACCAAGTATAATATTTTTGTCTCATTTGTTTAACTGGGTTCTCTTTGTGTACTTTTAGGACTTGTGTGAAAATCTGATGTTTTATGTCATATGCAGAAATATAGAAAATTCTAAAGGTTTGCTAACTTTCAAGCACCACTGTATGTTGCGATCTAAAACCAGATTCAGTCAATAAAATATTTGACTATATTTAGCCGAGATATACAGGAATAAATAACACACCCACACCTTTGGAGATATGCTATAAACATTGCTTAATTTGTAAACCAAACAACACAGGTACGCAAATAACGCGTGTGTTAAACATCTATGTTTACCTATATTCGTAAACACTTGATTAAATAACAATTTTAGAGAACAACAAGAAGTAGCCTGACCAACAGCTCTCCTTGTGTGAATAGAGCACGCTCCGCTTCTCTCAAGCACCCTCACACCTGCTCCAGTATCTCCATTGCCACTGCCTTCATGTGCTTCAATTCTTGGTTGTTTAGTTGTACTATGAGAATGTTTAAAAAAAAAGAAAGTAAATTGGACGGTCTTTTCGACATTTTGATTGCTGTTATTTTGACAAATTGATGCCATTGTGCAACGCAACGTGATTACCCAACAAACATTTATCTTATATTTTTAAAACTCAACATTTTATTAATGACCCCCCTAAACTGTAAAACTGATTTGTAATTTTGTTGTGCTGTTTAATTATATTTTTGTGTTTTTAATTAAATTGCCCATGACTGTACTTTCAGGGGCGGAGTTTTTTTAAGGGTAGAAGAGGAAATGCTTACTTTAAGGGGCAGCTCTTATGTGATATTAGAAAGCTTGTGGCTGTTATGTTTAAAATTGGTGTTTATGTAATTATTTTCAGATTTCCAGTTCAAATCCAATATAGGTTTTATTTGTTCAAGGCAGTCAAATTTGTTCATAACTTTATTATTAGTAAGCCTGAGAGTTACTGGATCCAAGCAAACAGTTACCAGAATGCACCCTGTCAAAATAAGAGTTGGATCCTGTTCCGGCAGGATCAGACTCAAATTAAGCCCTGCTTATAAGTTTTTGAAATGTGGTAAAGTTTTTTTTTTTTTTTTTTTTTTTCTGAGGCACTTTAGATTTATACTGGAGCCCACACCCCAGTAAAATGTATGCGGCAACACCTTTGAGTACAAGTATGGCTGTTGCAACATTCTGAGAGCTCCAGATGACAAGACTGCCTGAACCATGTGAAAATATGTTCAAGTAAAGACTCTCCAGCTGTCAAATCCTGAGCCATTTGTTTATGTATGACATGTCAGGTCTCTGGGCAGCACGGTGGCGCAACTGATAGAGCTGCTGCCTCTCAGCGAGCAGGTCCCTGGTTCAAACCCCGGTCCAGGGGCCTTCTGGGTGGAGTTTGCATGTTCTCTCCGTGCATGCATGGGTTTTCTCCGGGTACTCCGGTTTCCTCCCACAGACCAAAAACATGCATGTTAGGCTGATTGGTAACTCTAAATTGTCCCTAGGTGTGAGTGAGAGAGTGAATGGTTGTTTGTCTCATTTGTCTCTATGTGGCCCTGTGATGGACTTGCGACCCATCCAGGGTGTACCCCGCCCCTCGCACAGTGACTGCTGGACATGGGCACCAGCGACCCCCGTGACCCAAAATGGAATAAACGGGTAAAGATAATGGATGGATGGATGGAAGGTCTCTCTTGTAAATGAGTCCTTGAAGCTCAATGGGATTGACCTGCCTAAATAAAGGTTGAACGAATGTATGACATAACTCACTACACAGGTACAGTCAAATCCTAACACGACACATGTGAATATATTAATATTTTACCTTTCTTGCTGTTATTATGTCATCATTCTGAGTCTGACAGCTGTCGTCTTTATGCAGTCGTGCTGGTGTGTTCATGTACATGCTGTTACTGTAGGACGTTAGAGCATTCTGCAGGTGAGCCAGCCGCTGGAGAACATATCTCTGCTGGGCATCTGTCTTCATGGAGCCGCGCTGAACAAGGTGATCAAAGTGACTCACGATATCCCCGGAGACACAGAACTCTGCTGCTGTTGGAGAATCCGAGGAACCGAATGGTGCAGAAGAACTGACAGCCCCCCAACAACTGCAACCTAAAAAAAAAACTATGCGATGTCAGTCACTTTTTTATTAAAAATAAAAAAAGGAAAAATATCTTACTTACCTTTTCCAGTGTAATCGCATGACAGAAAGTAGACTTTCTTTACAGTCAGTGCCCGTTTTCTTAACATAATAGTGAAAAAGAGTCTGTGGACCATGTAGGCCGCCATGATGATTCAAAATGCTGAAACTTTATTGAAACGTGTAAGTTGTGGGCTGACAATTCATTGTGTCACTGGTATGAAAAGCATGTCCTTGATTTTTCCACAACACATTTTGTTATATACTCATAATATCAGCAACAAATTGTTAACATTAACAGAATGCTAAACATGTACTGTAAATTGCGAGCTTTTACACAACAAACGTAAATAATAACCGGGATAATAGGAGTAAAATCATTGCATTTGATGTATTTGTTCAGCTTTATAGTTAATAAAAGTAATAATAAATTCCAGCTGTCAGGTCGTAAACAAACCGAACAGGATATAGAACAGAACACCGTCAGCTGAACCTCAGCTGATCGGAAGTAAAGCACGATGAACTTTTACGTCATCAAAGCGTAGTATTTACGTGGTCTGCCTTCAAAATAAAAATAAGAGGTGAACATTTTACAGATAAAACTAATAACAGCTTGATAAAAGCTAAATAAGTACCAAACATTGTTATTATAAAAACAAATTATTTTTAATTTTTTTGGTAAAGTTTAAAATTATTGCCACTTTATCTGTGTCAAATGTGTAAATTTCTTTTATTTTGAAACGAACCACCAGAAAGTACGTACTCATATTCCGGCTAACTTGACAGGCTACCTCGCCGCTAGAAAAGACAGGGAGAAATGGCTGATGCTATAGCTGATACAAGAAGGCTCTACACTAAGCCACAAAACTTAAATGACGCCTATGGACCTCCAAGTAATTTTCTAGAAATCGACGTGAGCAACCCTGAGACCGTCGGGGTTGGCAGAGGCAGATATACAACGTATGAAGTCAGACTGAAGGTGAGCGTGAAGCAACAAACCCCTGACGTTAGCGTGAAGCTAGCCATGCAGGCTAGGCTAACCTAGCCGTTTTACTCTAAAAAGAGTTACCACTGCTTTATTATAAGTCATTGTCAGTGTTTTATTTTCTAAATGGAACTCAGTATTTTGTCGAAAATTATTAGCAAAAATGACAAGGGAGAGGACTGGCGTTTGTGTTAACGATAAATCATGCTTGTTGGTAAGAAGGAGTCTGTTTACATTTGCTGTACACGGATTGTGACAGCGCAGGGCTGGATTAACCGTTTACATTAGTCCAGGTCTACAAATGAGGAGCAGTTGCATGCATATTTATATACGATCATCAAAAGATCATAAAACCTTCCCCAAAAAGTTTGGTGTTTCTCTATAGAGTTTAGGATGAAACTCCAGCCACACCCCGTGGGCTGACTGCAAAGTCGAGATAACCGCTTTAGTCACAGTAAACCACTAAGACGTGACAGCTAGCCTCTAAGACGAAAAACACAACTTTCTCCAAGTATAGGCCAAGAAAACTGCTGTACTGCCTAGTTTTTATTTGTTATGAAATGCCCTTTATGCGTCAAAAGTAAATGGTTGTAAATAATTATAATAAATGATTGAAAGATCAATTGAACTTGAGACTGTTAATGTGGATCTGTATGCATGGCAGGCCAAATTTTCAGCTTTTTAAAGGTGTTAAATATACATTTTATGTAATTTGGTTTAAGAAATGTATCAATTTAGTTTGACTTTTGTTCTTTAATAGAAATGTCCTTTGGCATATTTTCAGACAAAGCAACTTGGAAAAGTGACCATGGCTGTTTTTTTGATTAGACAAAAATCCCATTTTGGTGTGAAAAATGCAATGTTTCCCTCCTGAAATTACAAAAGACCTCTTATATTTCTGAACAAAGCTTTTTCACCAGGCTTGAAAACGTACTCGAACATAATACAGCTGTTTAGGACTTTTTTACTTTGTCCACATTATACCAGTTTACAAACAATCCATGAATGAATGAAGCCTTCTAGTTGTTATGTATTTTTAAGTGAACATCTTGAGTTGCCATTAAATGGTTACATTTCTAAAGTAATTTTTCGAACACTGTCAGTGTGAATAAGCCTGTGATTTATCAAGTCAGCTTTTCTGGAACTGTGGACAGGATGCAGTGCGCTGACTGATCCAGAAACACCCCTGCAACACGTTTCCTTCCTTCAACTTTATTGACTAACTTCCAGAGAGCTTCCTCTCATCCGTTTGTGTAATATGTGATTGCTAGTATATGCTCTAAATATGTAAGCTTCTTAAGTATGCAAAGTTAGGTTTGTGGATAAGTTTGACTAATCAACTAGTATGCAAATGTTTAATCCTAATATTTTTTTAATAACCCAAGTTCATTGTAAATTATTTTGTGGCAGTCCTCTAGCCTTGTACTTAATGCCAAGCACTCTAAATAATGTGTGTGTTTTACAATATGTACATTGTAAGACACATGCATAATAAAGTGCATAAATAGATTTAGGCCTGGTTTGTATCTTTTAACTATACAGTATGTCACAGTTTTCATCAGCATATTTTGTAATTTCCATTGTCATTCTTCAAATCATTTCTAAATATTTTGTGCTGCAAAATTTAACCAAAATATTTGAAGTACATTACAGTAACGTAGTGTTTGAAATTATACAATTCTTTGACAAACCAGCCACCCACTTCTCCTGATGAAAACTGTATATCCTGATTGAGAGCGTCATAGGAAACATCCCAGACAAATTAGTTTTCTTTGCTTTGCTTTTTCTTAAAAAATGAATGTACCGTACATGCTCTTGGTATCAGTTAGAGACGTAATCTTTTATTTAAGCTACAGATGGAACACATACTTTGGTTTAGTTATGTGAAGGGAGTTTGTTGACAAAGCAGTTACAAGTTCAGCAAGTGTCAATGTTTGGACTTGGACTGCAGTTAGAGAGGACATGGAGGTAGATGGAGTGATGACAAAAGACACAGAAGACAGAGTGATATGATGGACTCGCTATGGTGATCCCTGAAACGAGAACAGTCAAAAGAAGCAAATAAGTATCTCTGCAGACTAATACGTTTAGTTTTTTTTTTTTTTTTTTTGCTAAACTGTTATGTGTAAACATGACACATAACAGAACACCTCTGCTCTTCTCGATTTATAGAAGGCGTTTATATTTTGTTGATTCACAGGTCGAAGTTAGGCGGCTTCAACAAAACAAAACAAAAAATTAAAGTTTCTCTGAAAATGATTAAGTACTGGACTGAAGTGACAGATCTGCCAATGCCAATTGAAAAATTTTAAACAACATTTAGAGAGCTTGAAAAACGAAATAGCTTTTGAAAACTTTATTCAAAAGTCTGGCTCCTTGAAAGCCAAATATAAGGAAAGGAGGGATGACTTAAGACTTTTGCACAATACTATATGTATGACATTTCTTTAATCAAATCTCGTAACCACTTGGAGTTAAAACAATTTCTAACCATTTCCAGCAGCATCATATCTGCAAGCAGTTTTTTAGCTCAACTGATTGCCTCATTTTTTTCTCTTAAATTGTCATTACTGTACCTGACACCCCTGTAGTTAGTGACTAGAAATCTTATTTCCATCCCTCAACCATTTTACACTTTTCCTTTTCCTTAAAGATGGGAGTTTAGGTGATGGAAGCCCTTTCCAGGCATTATCATTGAATATAAGGCTACTGTACTTGATTAGCATGTAATAATTAGCATATGCGTGTAATCAGCATTATTGTGCGTCTCATAGCCCTGTGTGACCCTGCTTTGCATAAGACCACAGAAGAAGCGGCGCATCCCTCACTTTTCAATAAGCATGATGTCAACCCGGCTTTGCTTCTCTCCTCCTTCATCTTTGGAAGCATTTTACTCCATCTCCATTTTTAAGACTTTGAAGAATGTCTTTGCCTAAAATGTGAACTTTTGCTTTGTTCTCCTAGTTTTTATTTTCCTTCTTATTTTTCATTTCCCTCATAGTTAATCTGACTGCTTTAATTTCATCCTCTCATTGGTCTGTACAGTTTCTCCTAATAACCTTTTGTCCTGTTCTCACTGCTACTCTGCTATCCTCCCTGAAATAGAGAGAGAGAGAGAGCCCTTGTGGCCGCACCAAGAGTCTGCTTAATCCCCTCATTGAGAAAAGAGAAGAATGAAACGGGCCAGGGTGTAGGGGGAGTTGGAGCATTTACTCCTCATCCTCACCCTCTACCCCCACCCATGGGAGGGCAGAAAGCCACCCCTTCACCCTCCTTCATCTCATCGCCCACTTATCCTATTTCACTCCCAGCCACTTACAGTGAGCAGTTCAGTTAACTGTGGTCTCTGTTGTGATAAATATATAGAGTGAATTATCTAAACATTAGTGCCGTTCTTAATAGTAAATTCTAAAGTTTGGTTTGAAGCTGGCTCGTTCTTTTGGCTCATGACCCACCGATGATGTTTGTGCGTTTACAAAGTTAGTGTCGGGACAAATTCTATTAGGTCTGGATGTGCTAGTCATGCGCCAAGACAAGTGTTTGCAGCATTTTTGAAAAATCTCGCACAGTCACTTTTTGTTTAAAGATGTCTGCATTTAGTGCTTAAAATCGAGCGAATGAATTACCTTTTTGTTAGTTTTTTTTTTTCCTGAGAAGATTTTAAATGTCTGGAATCCATTTAAGAACACAACTTTTCTAGAAATTATTTATTAATAATAATAAAGTGATATGTGTTGTCATCATTGTATGTTCCCATACAATGGCGAAATTGATTCTCTGCATTTAACCCATCGCATCTAGGTGGAGCAGTGGGCAGCTATAAGCGCCCGGAGAGCAATTGGGATTAGGTGTCTTGCTCAGAGATGTAGTACATCTCTACATCATAATTGTACGTTTTGACTTTTCAACCATTGGAAAACTAGTAGGCTTTTTATGTACTCGTTTCATGTTTCTAATAGGTATTTTTCAGAAAACCTGACATACTGCATTGAACATCTTTTTTAGATGTTTGCTAAAGCAGTATAGTGTATTTGTGTTTGGGTTGAAGCTGGGATGAGGCTGTATGAAGGGGCAAAAGTAGTGAAGAGTATTATCAAAAAAAAATCCTTATTTTTCAGTTGGTTCCCATCTCATCCAGAAAGCACATTCAGGGGAGAGAACTTCAGGATCTCACTTTGTTTATGGATAAGAGTACATGAAAGGGCTCTTATAGCTCTGTCTCTCTTACTCCTCTTCTCCCATAGCTTCTCCCTTTCCCCCACTTTTTTCTCTTTTTCATTTGGGCACTGGGGTGGGGGCCCTTGGTCATTAATAAAACGGAGAGGCAGGGAGTGTGTGTGGAAGGAGTGGGGGTATGGATGGCTGGGGGTGTGTGGGGGCTTGTCAGGCACAGTCAAGTGTAATCCAAAGTCTACAGCATCCTCTTCGACAACTATTTTAATGGAAATAGGGAACATATTGTATCAAGGCTACCATATCCTACTTGAAATGACAGTATCAAAAGTGGGAGTTGATGCTATGGTAACAAAGCAGCTTTTTGCTGGATAGGCGAGTCGAAGAGAGGGTAGGCTGTCAGGCCACAGGGGCCAGCAAGCGAGGGAACGACAGAGTACATAGAGAGACGAGAGTGAAAGACCCATAGCCCCAACGCTTTTGTTCTCAGCCTTTTTTTTTCCCATTTTGGAATATGATGCAATGAGATGGTATTATGTTGCCATTTTTAATGCTATTCTTCTGAAAGGGGACTATATGTGAGGGGTACGAAGGTGGCATGGGGGAGGTTTAGGATGCGCGCACTCAAACTTGACTTAATCCATCCTGCTAAAAGCTAATGCATGGTGGCCTTGAACTGTTCTCTCTGGAGATGAGTGATCTTTGTTCACTCTCTCCCCTTCTTTTCTGTCTCGCTGTTTTTAAGGGTTCTGCCTCTTTTCAGCCCATTTTCAATGAGCCTAAGGTATTGTGTCCCACACATTATGAATCACATGCTCTTC